GCCTCCTGAGTAGCTGGGACTACAGGCACGCGCCACCATGCCCAGCTAATTTTTTGTAGTTTTAGTAGAGACGGGGTTTCACCGTGTTGACCAGGTTGGTCTCGATCTCTTGACCTCGTGATCCACCCGCCTCAGCCTCCCAAAGTGCTGGGATTACAGGCTTAAGCCACCGCGCCCGGCCCTCATTTTTAAGTCATTCTTTCCATCCTCATCCCTAAGTGTATCTCTAATCCTATATTCTTTTTTTTTCCCATTTATTTATTTTATTGCATTTTGGGTTTTGGGGTACATGTGAAGAACATGCAAGATTGTTGCATAGGTATACATGTACATCTGGCATCTCTCTCTCTCTCTGTCTCTCTTTCTCTCTCTGTCTCTCTCTCTCTCTAGTCTTCTTATTTTTAAATTTAACTTCTTAAGAGACAGGCTCTCACTCTCTCCCAGGCTACAGTACAGTAATGCGATCACAGCTCACTCCAGCCTCACGCTCCTGGGCTCAAGCAATCTTTTCACTTCAGCCTCCAAAAGTGCTGGTATTACAGATGTGAGCCACTGTGTCCAGCCTCTGTGTTCCTTTAAATTCTCTCTCAGATGCATCATTCTTCTCAAGTTCCATTCCCACCATGTAGCCCCTATCCCCCTCACCCTCCCTGGCACTATGCAGTGGCACTATGCTTCTTACAGTCTCCTTACTGCTGATCTTTCCCCACTCTAATTCATCACACCCAGGCCTCCAAGCCAATCTTTACATGGCAGACTCTCACTACAAATTAGCTTAAATAGAATAAAAACTACTGGTGAAGCTCCTGGCTCCTTGAGGTTCTGGTTTAGCTGCAATAGCTATGTGCTCAGCAACTATGGTCTCTGTATTCTTCTCTCTACTCAACCTCATTTCTGCTGAAATGACTTTCTAGGTATGTGCAGGATTGAGGGAGGTTATCACTTGCCAAGTGGTAAAAGGCATATTTGAATTTTAAGAAGCTGGTAATGCCCTGAAAGCTAGAATTTGGCTGGGATGGGTGGTGAGGGACAGGGGTGAGTAATGAGGACAAAGACATCAGATCAGAGAACTAGTCCTAAAATTTCTTCCAAAGAGAGCAGGAAATATAATTCCTGCTCTACCCTGTCACTGTTGCCATCAGTGCTTCACTGATGACGCCCCAAAGCCTATGATAGGCTTCTTTGCTCTCTGGCAGGTAACCACCAGCTACACTTACCAGAATCCGGTGATCAAACTGCACCATGGTGGGATTCTCAAAAACATTCCTCAGGATGGGGGAGAAGGTAAAGAGGTCCTCCGGGATCCAGGATTCTCCCATTTTGGGAAAGGAGTTGTAAACAAGCCCAGCATCTAGCCCTGCCACAAAAGCCCCTGTATTCCAAGGTAAGTGGTATTTATTAAAATGAGAGGAAGAAGAGACCAGATATTAGTTCTGACATAGAAAAGGTCTGTTATCCCAGAGTTAAACTAAGGGAATAGTCAGAGAATAATAGAATGATCTACAACAGGAGTTCTTCAACAGAGAAGATCCATCACAATCACCATGGGAACTTCAAATCTCTGCACCCTTACCTGCTCCCACCCCAAGATTCTGCTTCCTCTAGAGAAGTGGAGTAGAGGCTCTGGTGTAGGGGGAGGAGGAGAGGCTTATTAGCTTAGAAAAATTCCCTTAGTGATTTTGATGCCCTCCTCACCCCCCACTGAGTGCTACTGATTTATTTTAGAAATGCTCTCCCACACATGTCTGCATGACTGACTCCCTTACTTCCTCAGCTTCCACTCAGATGTCCTTATCAAAGAGATTTCACTTGATGATCCCATGTAAAATGGCACTCCCCTAGCCCATTTTCCATCTCCTGACCCTAATTTATTTTTCTTCATGGCATTAAATATCATCTAACGCATGATGTTTCTATTGTGCATTATCTATCTTCCCCAAATGCTCAAGAAATGTTTTTTGACTGAACACAGAAGTGAGAAAAATCCCAAAACTTATAAATGAAATCCTGGATAAACAAAGAGGGTATTCATGAATGAATGGACGACTGATCCATTATTTTATTATCAAAGAAAATCCAGAAATGTTTGGGTCACCCTCCCTTTTTTTTTTTTTTTCCTGTTTTTGGGTCAGAGTCTTGCTCTGTCACCCAGGCTGGAGTGCAGCAGCATAATCTCAGCACACTGCAGCCTTGACCTCCTGGGCTCAAGCAATCTTCCCGCCTTAGCCCCCTGAGTCGCCGGGACTACAGGTGCACAACATCACACCTGGCTAATTTCTGTATTTTTTTGTAGAGACGAGGTTTCACCATTTTGCCCAGACTGGTCTTGAACTCCCTGGCTCAAGCAATCCACCTGCCTCAGCATCCCGAAGTGCTGGAAATTACAGTTGTAAGTCACCATACCTAACCCACTCCATATTTATTTTTTTAAAATACCTCTTATGAAGTAAAAATTCATGCTCTTATACCAAAAATAAAAGTGTCAAGTAGCTCATTGGTTTGAATCAATATTATTTTTATTCTAGAGCAGTGCTGTCAATAGAACTTTCTGTGAGAGTGGAAATGTTCTGTATTTGTGTCGTCCAATATACTAGCCACTAGCCACATGTGCCTATGGAGCATCTGAAATGTGGCCAGTGTGACTGAAGAACTAAAGTTTAAATTTTATTTAACCTTAAATTAATAAGTTTAAATATCCATACAAGGCTACAGATTCCTCCACTAGATAGTGCAGTTCTAGAGTGAGAGCAGCAGAGGTGCTGTGGTTTAAAGAATGAAAAAGGCTGGGCTTGTGGCTCATGCCTACAATCCCAGCACTTTGGGAGGCCGAGGTGGGCGGATCACTTGAGGTCAGGAGTTCCAGACCAGCCTGGCCAATGTGGTGAAACCCCGTCTCTACTAAAAATACAAAAATTAGCTGGGTGTGGTGTTGTGCACCTGTAGTCCCAGCTACTTGTGAGACTGAGGCACAAGAATCGCTTGGACCCAGGAGGCAGAGGTTGCAGTGAGCTGAGATCATACCACTGCACTCCAGCCTGAGCAACAGAGTGAGACTCGGTCTCAAAAAAAAAGAAAGAAAGAATGAAAAAAATCCTATGTTGGTCTCTTTGTGCCAATGCACTCTCCACCTGTAACCATCTCTGAGGGCAAGTCTTTTGTCTGACCCATCTTGATATAATGTGATAATAACAATAATGTTTATATAATAGTAACAGCTAACACTTGTATAGCCTTTGCTACATACCAAGTACTGTTCTACACATTTCACATTTACTACTCATACTGTTGTCATAACCTCCATTTTACAGATAAGGTCTCTAAGTCCCAAGAGAGGTTACAGAGCTTGCAAAGGTCATACAGTTCATAGGTGGCAAAGCTAGGATTTGAACCTAGGCAGTCTGGATCTAGGTACATGTTCCATATTTTCATTCAATTGACAGGAAAGTAGAATTTTTGGAAGAGAGAAAGGAACAGGGAAACAGAGGGTGAAGATGGTGGGAATGAGAGAAGCAGAATGTGAAAAGGAAATACAAAGATGCAGAAGGGGCAAAGCATTAGGCAAGAGGTCCCACCTTAGAGTGCAATGCTAACAGGTCATCTCTGATGAGCTGAGTCCTACCTGAGAGAGCTGTAAGGAACACCAGACCTGCTGTTCCATGAGCAAATCGTCTCAACCGTTGGAGTTGACGGGTTTCAGGCAACTAAATAAGAAAAAAATCATTCAGTTAAACTGTGTTGCAGGAACAATGAGGGTCAGCAAAGATCTCCAATGCCAAACCCAAGTGACAAATTAGGATCAGATCTTCTCTGACCCCTAAACTAGGTTAAGTACTCCCAGCAGATATTCTGTTCCAACGTGTGCTGTATTTTATTATAATTATATGTTACTATCTGTTTTCCCTGATACCACGTTAAGTTTTGTGAAGGCAGGAACTGCCATCTTTCTTACGACAGCAATCTTAGCCTAGTGATTGGCACATAGGTACTCATTACGTATCTGTTCAAAAACTGAATGATTTACATTATTCAGGAAAAAATGCTTCATCACAGCTAAAAGGATATAGCTTAAGATCAGGACTGGATTTTCATGTGTGTGATATTAGTGTTTAGCAAATATAGTCAGAATCGAAATTGCATAAAATGCTTAGAGATTTCTGTGTTTAGTGGTTTTGATAAAATCAAAATTTGTTTTTATTCTTACTACAGCCAACTTCTAATACTAATCAATGAATCATCAAATATTTATTAAGAACTTTATAAAAAGGTGACTATAAAGACACAAAGGAGTTATGTCAAAATGCTACCCTCAAATAGTTTACAATCTACTATATGAAAAGTTAGGTATCATTACTAACATATCATAGGACAGTATATCAGCACTGTCCAATAGAACTTTCTGTGATGATGGAAAAGAACTATCATCTACCTAAGGAGAACTTGAAACTTGGCTAGTATAACTGAAAATTACACATGATCTTAGCCAAAAGGCCGAGAAGCGATGATGACTGAAAATTCAATAAAAAATTAATTTAATTTAAAGTTTAAGTAAACAAAAAGCTTATTTAAATAAAAGTAATTTAATTAATTAAAAAAATTTTTTTTTCTTCCTCACTCTGTCACCCAGACTGAAGTGCAGTGGTGTGATCTTGGCTCAGTGCAACCTCCAACTCCCAGGCTCAAGTGATTCTCCTGCTGTAGCCTCCCAAGTAGCTAGGATTACAGGTGTGTGCCACTATTGCCTGGCTAATTATTTAATTTTTAGTAGAGATGGGGTTTCACCATGTTGGCCAGGCTGATCTTGAACTCCTGACCTCAAATGATCCATCCACCTCAGCCTCCTAAAATGCTGGGATTACAGGCATGAGCCACCGTGCTCAGCCTTAATTAATTAAAATTTAAATAGCCATATGTAGCTAGTAGTAATGTGTTGGACAGCATTGTACTATATGGCTCATTGGCTAGCATCTCAAATCCTTTTTGGAATTAGGTGAATCTAAACATACAGAGAAAAACAATTAATTGATAAAGTTATCAGTAACCTTTAAGAGTACAATTTCAGTAGTGAGAGTATGTGGGTTTATGTGTGAGTGTGGGTAAATGTGCGAGCGTGTATGTATTGAGTTGGGTGGGGAAGATAATTGTAGGGATTGAAAAGAAGGAATAGGTTGTCAGGAGGCAGTAGCTATATATGCAGGCAATTCATTTTAGAAGTTTGGCTTTGACTAGTGTGGTGGCTCACACCTACAATCCCAGCACTCTGGGGAGGCAGAGGCAGGTGGATCACCTGAGGTCAGGAGTTCGAGAGCAGCCTGGCCAACATGGTGAAACCCCGTCTCTACTAAAAATACAAAAAAAATATCTGGGCATGATGGCTTGCACCTGTAGTCCCAGCTACTTGGGAGGCTGAGGCAGGAGAAGTGCTTGAACCGGGGAGGCAGAGGTAGCAGTGAGCCGAGATCGCACCACTGCATTCCAGCCCGGGCAATAGAGCGAGACTCCATCTCAAAACAAACAAACAACAAAAACAAAATAAGTCTGGCTTTGAAAGTCAGGAGAACAGGAATTATTCAGATGTGGTTGTCTAGCACACCAATATTTCAACCCAATTGGCTTCTCTGTGGGAATGACTGTCCAGACAACATCTTCAGTCCTTATCGGGATCGAGCTGCTAGTTCCAAGTGCCTAACAGATAATTCAACTCAAAAGTCCTGCTGTCATCTCAAACTTTTCTCCAGGAACAGCTTACTTAGGTCAACCCATGATTTCAATACCTAATATAAGATTCTTTTTTTTTTTTTTTAAAGACAATTTCACTCTTGTTCCCCAGGCTGGAGTGCAATGGTGCAATCCGGCTCACAACCTCCACTTCCCGGGTTCAAGT